TGATTCGGGATGCATGCGACTCTACAGCGAAGGGATTGGCGATGCCGTACCGACGCTAAAGACTTAAGTCAAGTAAGTCAAACACACATTCTCCCCAGAAAGAAAATAGCATTGTTTCATAGCTACTGCCTGGTATGCTTTAAACTTCATTCTTTAACAGGTGATTAAAATGCCATCATTATTATTAGCAGGCAAAAGGTTGGTGAAATAATATAATATACTTTTCTCCCAATTGGGTGGCCTACAAATGTGATCATACTATAACTTCCTGACTGTATACATATACATATAATTCTGAGATCTAACACATCAAAAGGGTACCAGATTGTAAAAGGCAAATTTAATATTTAAAAATTTAGTATTTTTATTCTATAACAAACATTTGCAAAACCAGCAATTTCAGTCTATTAGTTTCTTTTGTGGACTCAACTCATGGGGGTAAATGCACACACAAACATTTATTTTTAGCTTGTAAACTTTCTGCAATTGGGAAACAATATTATTTGCCTAGCAGCAAAAAAATGTCATGTGCCCGGTCTTCTCTTAATAGCTATTTATACTTCTATCACCATAACATATATTATTTTTTTGCCCTGATCTAGAGGTTGATATTTTTATTTACTTGTAATTCTGATAAACATAACATGGCCAGAGTCCTTAGTTAAACCTCCAGTAGCACACAAGAAATCATTGTATTTCCCTAACTCTGTGGCTGGAAGGTAGTTTGGGATTTTCAGGGCTGTTACATTCTTGAAACACTCACATAGTTCACCCCACACAATCCACGTTATCAGATCCTTATTTCAGATTCAAATCTGATATTATGACGAGAAAAATAATTGTCCATGAATATGCTTGTGCATAGTGGTATGATAGATTAGAATGATGGCAAAGAAAATATCTTGAAAAATACTATTTTTGATCTCCTTGCTAAGATTATCAATAGCAGATGGATGATTGATCCCATTCAAGTGTCTAATCTAGGCTACATCCCACTAACTTCTGCACATGGGAAATGAGCTTTAGGAAATTAAAGCTCATCAGTAATCAAACTTTCCTGAATGATAAAGTTAAAGTTGAGCAATGAAAAATATGTAGTATATACATTTCTTATAACATTTCAAGGTCTTAAAAATTGGAAAAGTCAGAAGAAAACAAATCCAATTACAGCTTACAAACACCATTGTTTTTCTAGGGGAATTGAGCTTTGTGTCATCAATGTTCTCCTGCAACTCTATTTTTATTTATTAATTTCCTACCTTTATTTTACAAATAGCCCAGGGCAGAAAACATATCTAATACACCTTCTTCCTCCTACTTTCCCCACAACAACTCTGTGAAGTGAGTTGGGCTGAGAGAGAGTGACTAGCCCAAAGTCATCCAGCTGACTTTCCAGGGCAGGACTTGAACTCATGGTTTTCTGCTTTCTAGACTGGCCCCTTAACCACTAAACCAAGTAATAATTTAGAGGAAAAAATCCCAAGGTAGATGATTCCCTGCCAATTAGCATTAGCCAGATTAAAAAGGGAACTTTTTAGACTTTTTCTTTGAATTTAATTTACTGTTAATTTATACTGCTAATTCGTGTATGATATGCCATATGCTAAATAAATAAATGAAGTCTTTCTCTTTTTTATTTTCTGTTTTATCTGAAGTTGATCACTTGCTATACTTACATCTTTTCTAAATAATAGCCAATTATTTATAGGTTTATAACTTTCCCACCAGAAACCAAATCCAATCCATTTAAACAAGCATTCCAGCAAAAACAGCAAATGTAAAATAAAACTTGGAATACAAGACAAATGCACAGATACATCTGTTCCAATATTAAAAATACTTTGAACATTATATATGCTTCTGGAAATAACACAAGGTAGGTACAATGTGCTCCTTAGGCTAAAATATTTGAAATAATGTTTCAAACCTTAAGTCTTTCTTGGGCTTGTACTGGTGTCAGGCCACTTTTCTGCACAAGAGTCCAAAATACCGTATTATAGAGGTTATTGATATGACCTAATGATACCAAGTGAAAAAATCATCAGCAATACTATAAGATTGGCTTTAGAAGTTGTGTTATAATTATTACTACAACTATTATTGTTTTTTATACTATGTTTCTCCAAAAACATGACTCACCCCAATAATAAGTCCTACCCTAATTTTTGGTGTTTTTACTTTTAATGTTTTTTAGCAGAAAATGGGATTAAATACATATTCGTAAAAATTAGCATTCTATAACTTCCATCTCACTCCTGCAATACTTACAATCAGCTTGTCGCCAACAGAGATAATCTTTTAGATTTTGGTCATTGGGATACAACACAATACGTCCATCAAATCCTGGTGGATACAAAAGGGACTTGTCCTTAAAATAATCCTTCCAATAGAAAACATAGCTGGATGCAAACTTGGCCACCACGAGAGTCATTAACTTACTTGGGGGGAAAAAGGGAGAGAAAACATAACTTTTTAATATAATCAACACAAGATTCAACTAGCCTATATAAATACAAGAATGTGTGCCTTGTTCATTATTTGAGGAATTCTTTCCAAAAATGACAGTTGGTCTTATCTGAATTGTTATTTTAAGAGGTGTTTGCAGGATGGTCCAGAGATGGTATTATCACAGCCAATTGGCCTTGAGACTGGGTTGAATCTTGTAGCCACGCCTCTG